TAATAATAATAGTAATAAGATGTTGGAGTACAAATGAATGACGCTCACTAAAAAAAACAAGCCTCCAAGGGACGTCGCATTTACTAAACCGTAGATGTTAACTAAAAGCAAGCAACAGAGATTCAAAAGGCCTGGCACAGTTCGGCTCAGCATTCCAATAGTACATACTAGCGCGGGACAACTACGCGGATTATCCGAGAGGTCGTCGGTCTTTTGGCACTTCTTAATTCGGCAACAATTTCACGCTATTCTACGATAATTTGAACACAAAATAATTATGCCTTACTGTTGCTACGTAAACACGCGATTGCCAAAATGCAACCTCACGTGGGGCCTTTCGATTGGTACCCATGACATGGGAAAAGAACTGTTGTTGGAAGGACAACGACGTGCCACGCTAATTCGCTAACTTGAATATTTGGTGTAATATGAGCGCGGAGAATCTAAGATCTAATCCCACGGCATGGGACTTTGATAAATCACCTCAAAATATCCCAATAGTGGTGAGCTAATAGCCGTTTTAGCAGTTCAAGTACGTACGGAGGTTGTTCCATCGCCTGAAGTCTTGATCAATCCCGAAAGGGGTACCTCGCGATGATCCGGCATTGATTTCGAATTGATCTGCTTTGCATACACCCTCACTGGACCATCTCGGATTTCCGGTACCATTTCGAAACGTAAATGTAACAACGACTTGTAAATCATCATCCGAATTATTTACCGCATCAATAACAAATACAGTGACTGGTAATGAGCTATCCTAAATCAACACATTTTTACAGCAAAATAGAATTTTAAGTACAATATCCAGAATACTAAGGTCTGCCGGACAAGCAGTGTGGCGGTTTCATACTAGCGATGTCCCAGCATCCACACACAGCTATGCCAGGTCCTTCGATCTAGAGCTGCAAATCTCCACTGGTACCCACCGCTTTTTCGATGCATGCGGATTATTCTTCATAAAAAATTTTTGTTTAATTTCTCATCAGAACCACTGACTAATACACCCAACGTAGAAATAAACTGGTGAAATCAAAAAAAAAAAACGCAAGATTTGGAAGAAAAAAAAAACGAATTATTGAAATATTTATAAAAATAAACATCGCAAAAATCAACAAGGGGGCTACAACATACCATTTTGCAAAATGACAGATTTTTTATAAAATTTCATTAGGAATAAAATGACACACCTTGTAATCATTAGGTACAACAGGTGAGATCTGACGGATGCATAAATTAAAATCGAATTCCGGAACTGAGTAATGTGTCCAGGAACGCGGAAAAAGGCCTCTGAAACATGCTATACGATGTAAATTCAAGAAAAAAATGTCCCAATTGAAATTTTTTTTTTCATTTTTAGACGAGTAAGTGGTGGATTTCATTGCCTGAACTGACTGTATCATTTCAGCTAAATTTTGCGAAATACAAATCTGAGGAATTCTGTGGGTCTTGTAGCTGCATTTTGCTTTTGCATTTTTTCATTGTTCCTCCCGTATTCTTCCAGTTCTCTATTACATA